GAGATTATTGAGTCTCTCTCTCTCTTCTTTGCTTCTAGCCTGGAGTTTCAATATTTACATTTAAATCTGTTGAGCTAAAAACTTGTTTTTTATCATTCCTTGGGAAAAATTACCTTCCTCATGGCAATTGCTTTAATTTGTACAGGGAGGGAGATACCTGCTCTCAGAGTTGTTCCCCCATCCAAGCTCCATCCTTCAGCCACGTATTTCTTACCTCTCTAAATTTTTCCCCCCTCCTTTGCAGATTATTTCACTAACACATTCAACAGTTTAGAACATTCTGTCAGCTTTGTTTGGAAGCCATATTAGCACCAAAAGCTTCCATACTGCCACATTCCTGTGCCTGGGAAATTGGGAGGGGGGATTTTGTAGAATGGTTGTTGTTAGACATAATAGCATTCTTTTTTTTTTTTTTGAAAATTTTATTTGGGTTTTCACAAAAAAAAAACCATGATACAAATAAAACATCTTTTTTTGAAAATAGCATGGTCCCAGGTTACACTTCATACAGACACAAACTCAATTTCATGTTCACTTTTATGTTCTATTCCATATCTTATTACTGTTTTACATTTTCTACATAGTTTTTCTTCTCTCTTAATTTTCTCAATTTTATTTTAATTATCTCATCTCAATTCAAATCATTATATTTATACTTTTGTCTGTCCTGTTTCAATTTCATATTTTCTTTTCTCATTAAACCAATTTTCTCCTGTAGTTACTAATTGGAGTATGGCACCTTTATATCTTTTAATTTTATCCATTCAACTCTTATTTAAGCTTCAATATATACCTTGAGGTTATAACATTCAGTATAATACATAACTTCCAATCGAATTCTGCTTGGTACATTCTTAAAATACACACTATATTCTTAAAAAGTGATTATAAATATATATAATTAAAACACTCATTCCATTCCAATTCAGTTCTATCATTAATATTCATTAAAGTCTTAACCTCTTTAACATTTCTTTTCTATTAAATATCATACTTCCTTGGGAACACTTATAAGCTTTCCGTAATTAATTTTTTTCACTATTTCTCTTCCCTAATATTTTATAAAGCATTAAATAATTAAAATGTTCCCATCCTTTCCTAATTCAATTCTCTCATTCATTTTATTTCATTTATTTATTAACATTTTACTAGATTACAATAACTATTTTATCCATCATTTTAATCATGCATTGTTTCATATTTTTTAAAATTATTTCTATTTCTAATATAACAATACTATCTTATGTACCTTTGCAGAATCCCCTTTTCAATTAAATTTTCATCCATTATCTCTAAATAGGCCCTGTTTCTCCATATCTTGTTTCTGTCCTTTATAACTTCTTTTCCTTTCCTTCTTCCCTCTCTTCTTATCCCTCCCCTTTTTACCCCCTTGTCTCTCTAGTTCTAATTCTCTTCTGTATTCCCCTCTTCTGTTGCTTTCTAATATTATACTTATTTTTCAAGTTATTATTCCTTTTCTTGGTTGTTTTTTCAAATCTTAAACTTTTCATTCTCTTTCCGCCCTTTACTTTTTTTCCCTCACATAAAATTATTTGTTTATTAAAGATGGCTTCTTCTTTGTCCCAGTCTTCTTGTTCTGCAGGCATTTCTTGTTGTTTCTCATAGTTCGAGATTTCCATTTCTAAGAATTGAAATACGAAGCCAAAAGAACCTCTCCTTTCTTGTGCACCTTCTTTGTACTTTTTAAATTCCATTTTCAGTTCATCTAAAAGTAGTGCCATTTTAAACACTTTTAAACAACCACCCAATTGATTTTAGTCATTCAAATGCAATAACCAAAAATCCAGAGATCAACAAATAATCCAAATACTCCCAAGCTGTTTCTTCATGCTTCTTTTTTCCACTTTCTCTTTCTGGGGTTTTACTATTTTGTTGCCAAGTTTCAGTTAAAATGTATCTTTTAGAAGTCTTGTTGAGGTTTTACTGTAAATTCCTTTTAATTCCAGGCAGTCTCCTCCCTTTTTTTCCAGATCATGCCCTTTTATTCTTTTTCTCTCCTTTCCTGCTTTTAAAAGCTTTTAAGTATCCAGAAATCGTTATTGTCCTTTTGACATTTTATTTTCAGCTTAAATGCCTACTGATGTCAAAGTGGATTTTTTGTTTCCAATTTCTCATTTAAATCTCTTAGCTGTCAGTATAGGGAAAGGAAGAGAAGAAAAAAAAAAGAATCCTTTCTCTTTTCTCTCTTCTTTGCTGCTTCAAAATCTTCTTTGGGAACAATGTTACTTTTTTTTTTTTAGTTTAAATTCCAGGGTACCTTAGTTGTTGCTTTTGCAGTTTAACCCAGTCAACCAAAACTTTCTTTTCTTCTCTTCGTCCTGCACATTCTTTTCCGGTCAAGTTCTTCTTTGAGGTGGCCATTTCTGACCACCGCTGCAACCGCCTTCGGGAAAGGGAGTAATGGCCAGCTGAGGAGGAGAGATGCGGCTCTCCTCAACCCTGCTGGCAGTCTCCCCCCTCTTCACCACCTCTACGGGGTGGCTTAGCCACGAAACCAGCCGGCTCGGGGCGCTCCAGCTCCATGACCTTTATAGTCAAGGTCATGTTATTCCTGCACCTGGATGAGGAGTGGTTTAAGGGAGGTCTCAAGTTGGAACGGATGGTGACTGGGCCATGTGATGGAGTGATGGGTGCAGGGGATGGATTTTGTGTTTTTTTAGTTATTGGAGGAAAACCTGGAATTCTCAGATTTGGGTTTTCCTAGATGTGCCAGTATGACAACTCTAATAAAATGGAACTTTGAGAAAATGTCTGTCTCAGTGTTTTGGTGTTGGAGTTTGTTTCCCTGGAACGCTGACACATTCACACTACACCCTAAATCTGGAGATGATTTTATCTTCGTTCTATTGTATCACATAGCAGGAAAGGGAGGGAGGAAGGAAGGACCCACTGCTATGGAAATGCATTCTTGAAATTCTGAAGCTTTGCTCTGTCACAGCAAAGCAACTGAGTGTGAAGTCAGTTTATCAAGATAGTGTTACGTTCTGCTGTTTTTCTCAAATCTGCCACTTCTACTAGCCTTAATGCCAAATAGCTTTCATTTCAGTTCTCAGTGTTTATGAGGCACTATTTATTGCTATTAGCTCCGGAAAAGACTCCTCTTTTCCTCTCCTCGGCCTTTCTGAGCACTTCCACACCAAGAACAAGGTTTATAAATCACTACGTTTGTGAATTACAGATGAAGTGTTGGCTTCTTACCCATAATTATTGATTGGAGTAGTTTATCTGTTAGTGCTACAGTGCATTCTGTTCTGGTGCCAATGATATTGGTTGGTATCATTAGGTTATGTTAAATTGATGAGACTGGTGACCTTTGTATCTAAAGATACCTATTGGTATAAGGATATGTTTTTGCCTAAAATCCTAGGTAGTCCAACCGATGTCTGTATGGCTGCTATAATTATATTTCTGAATTCACAGAGGGCCACTCAGAGAACTAAAGGTACGGGTAATAATCAGTTTTTATCTTGCTGAATCAGACCACAGTTCAGTTTCTCCTAGGTAATGGGGCACCCATGGGAACGAAGGCATCCAGACTAGCAGCAAGGTCTTGGGGATGTGGGAAGTATAATTTAAGAAAAACATTTTCAAGCAATTTACTTGAAAGTATAGAACTATCCTAGATTGTTATTGTTTAATTTTTGAATGAAAAAGTTTTTTAAAAGTAATGCCTGATTTTAAAAACAATTGGCAGAGTTTAGAATTTTGGTATCCATTGATACTTAAGTTAATACCACTGTTTGGTTTCTGTTAAAAGTTGGACACTTTAGATTTGTAATCTCACAAACAGCACAAGTCACATATTGCCCTTCCTTGGGCTCTTGTAGTGTATTCTACTTGGAAACAGCATAGAAGACAAAATATCTGCTAAGCAGTGAACAAAATATCTGCTAGCTGGGTAACTGGGACTCGCTTGGAAGAATAATATATTTTATTGGTACTTTAGAAGATGCACTGACTTCTAGTGTATTTTTAATTAAAATTCAAAAAGTAAGGAATCTTTTTGGGTGGGGACAGGAGTATATAAATAAATATGTGTGCCCCACCCCGTCTGTGTGTTGCAGTTGTCTTCCAACATTCCTAAAGTAAGACATTCAATTGAAAGGGTTTTGTTTTTTTTTGTCTCGGGCATACCTCATCAAAGGAAGATCCTCTTGTGTCCTCACTTTGATTTGCCTGCTGCCCCAAGAAAATGTTTTAAATATGTGTTTTGAGTCTTTTATGCTTCTGAAGGTTGCAAGGTATTTTTCCTGCTTCCAGGGGTTGAAGGCAGCATGGCAGATAACAGATAATCAGAGATGGAAGGGACCTTATAGGTCATCTACTCCACCCAAGCAGGAGACCCTACACCATTTCTGACAAATGGCAGTCCAATCTCTTCTTGAAGGTCTCACTCAGGTGATGGCACTCCCACAACTTCCGAGGGCAACTTCTGTTCCATTGTTCTCACTGTCAAACTGGCAGTCATAAAGTAATAGCTCTCCATTTCATTGAGTTGTTCTGTAAAGTGAAGAAAATGGCTTCCAGATGAGGACCATACTGGTAGGAATCTCCAACCTTGGCAGCATGATTTGTGGACTTCAAGTCCCAGAATTCTTCAGCCAGCCATGCTAGCTGGGGAATTCTGGGAGTTGAAATCCACAAGTCAAGGTTGGAGAGCCCTGGACTATGGAGAACTAAGACGACTCCATGGAAGTCCAAGCCTACTTAGAGATTGAAGTGCACATGTGTCGGTTGTGGATGCTGCTTTTTTTATTATTATTATTTGCAGCCTCATTTCATTGTGTAAAAGAACCTGCTTGAACGTTGCTATGGGGGAAGGCTGGGGAATTGATAGCAAAAACCAGATCTTAAAAGACTTGTAATGGCTACGGTCCAAATCGGCTGGGGGAATAAAATGAGCCAAGTGGACAGACTGTCATAGTCCAATCATGAGAGAAATGGCAGAGATGAATATATGTTCTTTGTTTCCCCTGCAGGAGATTTGACCCTCGACCCGGAAACAGCTCACCCCAACTTAGTGATCTCTGAGGACCGCAAGAGCGTCAAGTTTGTGGAGCAGCGCTTGCGAGATCTGCCCGATAGCCCGAAACGTTTTACCATCTATCCTTGTGTGCTGGCCACAGTAGGTTTTACTTCAGGACGTCACTACTGGGAGGTAGAGGTGGGGGAAAAGACTCACTGGGCCCTGGGGGTTTGTAAGAACTCAGTAAGCCGTAAGGGGGAGACAACCTCTCTCCCGGAGACTGGCTATTGGCGGGTACGGCTCTTCAATGGAGACAAATACGCAGCTACCACAACCCCGTTCACTCCGCTGCACATTGCTGTCAAGCCTAAGCGAGTAGGCGTCTTCCTGGACTACGAGGCAGGCAAGCTCTCCTTCTACAATGTGACGGACCGTTCCCACATGTATACCTTCACCGACATCTTCACCGAGAAACTTTGGCCTTTCTTCTACCCAGGAATCCGGGCTGGGCGCAAGAATGCAGCCCCACTAATCCTCCGTCCGCCCACGGACTGGGAATAACAAAATGGCCCTGATCCCCATCTTCCTTTGCTACGCTTAGCCCTTGAATTGTGTAGAGAGAGTTTTCCCAGCTCAGCTTCTCTATGGGAAAGAGAGCCAGCAGCAGTGGTCTGCCTACTAAGCAGTGCAGTCCCCAGCCAGAAGCGAAGCATCGCAGAAGGGAAGGGTTTTCACGCCTAGTGTTTAATGTTGGGCTTTTAAGCCTTTTCAAGGCGACGTTACACTAGGAAAGGTTTGGAGAAGGCAAACCTTTGTTAAGGTTTAAAGCAAAGACCTTGTCCTTTTCTGTAATCTGCAACTTCCGTTTCTGAGATATTGGGTTGCAGGTAAATCTGGGGGAAGAACACCTGTTAAGCTTAGTCTAGTGTTTGGCAACGGGCCATATAGGATTGCATTGGCAGTGGGCAAAGCTGGTCAAATGTGGGAAAGGCAGCCGTTTTCTGTGCACTGTAGAGGGAGGGGAATCTCCCTTGGAAGGGGTTACAAACATGCTTAAACGTTGCTTGTATAAATGGTGGAAATTATTTCTCGACAGCCTGTTTTTACCGGCAGGTCGAGTGGATGCAGGATAGGAGGAAACTGTAGTGCATAGTTGAGAATGCTATAAACCAAGGAAGCTAAGGAAACCATTCTCTCCAAGCTGATTGTTCAAAGCCACCAAGGATCGCTGAAGCTTTACTGTTGACTTGTGGCTGCAACCAAGTGGCAGAGGTGGGCTCCGACAGAAAAAGTATTGAGTCAATCATGATATTGATTTAGCTACCGAAGGAATTGCTTTCCGGCGGTATCATTTGGCGGGGTGTCTTATGAGTCGAAATGCATTTGTGATTGCATCAGAAGGGCTAGTGCACAATATCTCCCAGCTCATAGATTTTGGCCTGTGGCATTTCAGCTGTGTATCCTCAGATGCTTGTAGACTCCCTCAGAGATAAGTTGAGTGTTGGGCATCTGGATGGTGAGACAAATAGCTTATGGCATTTGCCTAGTCAGGGAAACTTCAAATTCAAAAAGAAAAACAGGGGTCAGAAATACAGTCGCTTTCAATGGAATTTGAATGTCTTCCAGTACTTCACCACAAATGTAATCTCCTGTCCTGGGCTTTCTTTAGTATAAATGAATGCCCATTGACAGGTACCGCTGAGCCAAAATAGGCACAGGAGCACATTTTCAGTATAAAACTGACCACCGACCTTCTCTCCCACTATTCAAAAGCATCTCTCTCCTGGAGATGGGCATTGGACAAAAGCCAAAAGCTGTTTGCACATTCAGAATCCAGGTAGATTGGTTTGACTGTGCAGTGATGTGCCATGGCTCTGCTAGCTACAGGATCTGTGTCCCTCTCAAATAATCTTGGCTAATCTATTGCTCTCTTATGTTTGTTAGGGGACAGCTTATACCAGGGGTGTCAAACTCGATTTAATTGAGGGCTGCATCGGGGTTAGGTTTGACCTCGGGGGGTCGGGGGTGGACGTGGCCAGGGTGGACGTGGCCAGATTGAAATCACTCGTGTCGGGGGCGCCTGTGGCCCGAGTGCTCGATCAGTGAAAATGGGTTCCCGAGCTTTGTTTTTGGCTGGGATGGCCTCTTGCAGCCCTCTGCTAGAGAAAATGGAGCGCCCTGAGCTCTGTTTTTGCTGGCAGAGGGCTGCAGGAGGCCGTCTTGGCCACAATCAGAGCTCGGGAGAGCCGTGTGTGTCTCTCCTGAACTCTATTTTCACCGGCAGAGGCACTGCAGGCCAGATTTTTGCTGTTTCCAGGGTGGCCCCCTGGGCCAGATCTAAGCACCCCCTGGGCTGGATCCAGCCCCTAGGCCTTGAGTTTGATACCCCTGGCTTATAACTTGACCAATGGTTGTACATCGTGGAAACTTTAATCCTAATGTGCCCAGTAGCATCAGTGAAAGGCTATCTATCTTTGAAAGAAAGCCTGCCTTGCTTTGTATTAGTATCTGGGCAAAATGTTAAAATACAGACAGAAAAAGATAACAGCAAATACGTGGTTAAACAGCATGCAAAATAATAAAGTGGGAGATACTATGTGCCTGTGTGTGTACGTAATTCTCTTCCCTGCTCCTTTGACCAAAAAAACAAACTAAAAACCCCCTAACAAAAATACAGCCTTTTTGACAATGGAACCTCAGCTGCCTTCATTTTAGCCTCCAAGGTTTTGTTCTGGATTTTTAAAAAATCCAAATGAAACAATTGAAGGGGGAAAAACACACAGATCCTTAACCAGTTTTCAATGTTTACAATTAGATTTCTCTTTCAAATTATGCATGAAATTCGGAGTACTTTATCTGTAAAAAAAAAAAAAAGACATCTGCAGGGTAGAAGATGCTGAGTTGAGCAAGATCAGTCTACTTTTGTTGTTTCTGGGAGAGCTGGCAGTGGCCTTTCAGAGCTTCTGCAGCATATGCTGCAGACGCCTGAACATTAAAAAATACCTACCTTTTCCAAGCAGTTGTTACATGAAAAGAGAACTTGCTTGATAGCCAAGGATTAGATTAAAAGGTAAAGGTTTTCCCTTTCAGTCGTGTCCTTCTCTAGGGCATGGTGCTGATCTCCATTTCTTGGCCAAGGAAGCCTACATTGTCCAAAGACATTGTCCCTGGTCATGTAGCCAGCATGGCTATACACCAATGGCGCACAGAACCCTGATACCTTCCCCCTGAAGTGGTACCTATTTATCTACTTGCTTTTACATGCTTTCGAACTGCTAGGTGGGCAGGAGCTGGGGCAAGAAATGGGAGCTCCCCCCTTCTTGCGGCGCTTGGGTCTCGAACTCAGGCTGTGAGCTTTCCAGCTGACAAGCTCAGCGTCTTTAACCGCTGAGCCATCACAGATTAAGTGTGAGTTAAATAAGAGCGCACCCAGAGGGAGCTTTCCTGAATAGCTGAAGGAGTTCAGAAATGGAAGTGACTATCATATTTTGAATGTGAAGACCTTGCTGCTTTCTGAGCTTGGTTGTTTGTTTGCAGATATTTCATTGTCCAACTAGGTAATATCATCAGTGCTGTACTGAATGTGAAAATTCTTGAATGTCAGAAAATATTGCTCCTGGAATCTTTCAGTTCATTCCAGTCTCCAATTAGTACTTGGCCAGTCAGAATCAAAACAAACAAAGCGACGTTTTGATGGCTCTCATATAAATGTTGTTGGCCATCTGGGAATTGAGAATTAGACAGACCTGTTGAATTTAATTTGCTTTGCCTTCTGAAGGTGTCGTATGTACGTATGCACGTGCATGAATGCAAAAGTCTAAAAGGTGGAGCTTTGAATATGACTGTATTGACAGTTAACCCACAGCTTAATGCAAGATATCAGCGTTGTACCTTCAACATTATTAATAATAAAATAATTGTTTTAATTGACAGTGGGCTGTCCATGATTTCTCATCCTAGAAAGTATCAGGGTGTAACTTAAGATTTGAGATGAGCCAAAAGTATCAAAGTTCAATCCAGACCATTTCAGACTAATGCTTGAAACAAACAAACAAAAACGACGACAAAAGGATTGCTATAGAAATGATATGGAAAGTTCAGCCTGAAAATATTCTGGCCATGAGCTGAGATATGCACATTAGGATTTTTCCTTATAATTGTATTCCTTAAAAAAGAACTCAGTACTAGAAAATATAAATATCAATTGAATTAATAATTAAATAAAATTATGTTAGAAAATACTCATTTTAGAAAAGTAACTTCCTTGGACAGTAAAAGTGACTAAGAAGCAAGTACTGCAGTGCATAAGACCAGACATGTCCCTAGAAGGCAAAATCACTAAACTCTTTGGCCATGTCATGCATAGGAATTCGCTGGAGAAAACAATTGTGTTAGCGGTAAAAGGAAAACGAGCTGCCAAAGGACACAATGGCTGGACACCCTTCAAAGCTGACACCAGCCAGAGCATAAAACAACTCGAAGAAGTGCAAGATCAGGAGATGTGGAGTGGTTTGGTCCATAGAACTGACAAATCGGACTCAATGCATAACATCATCATCAGAAAATTAATTGATCCCATTCACTTATATCGTCTGTTCTCTCACACACCAACAGCTGTTATGCAGAGACACAAAAATACATG